GAATCATCTGTTAGCGAAGGATGATGACAAAAGCCTGATGATTTTGACGTCCTTTTAAACAATTTTTACGAAGATAAGGCCCAAAATGTCTCCTCAGAACCATGAACAAGTCGTGACACAGGCGGTTATGAACAGAGTAAGTAGATTATGTCTTTTTTTTCCTGAGGTGAACCAAGAGAGGAATGATATAAATAGGAGATTTATCTTCGGTCCTGAAATGTATTCTCTTCAGTGAGAATTATTCTTATTCTTCTTCAATTACTCGTTTGTGTCTCCGTTTCTGCTTCTTTACTATTACACCATCATTCAGACTTCCTCTTGGAGTTTTGACCGACGTGCATTGTGTGATAGAGGATAGTTGTAGAGTGGTGCAATAATTCGTTTTAATTTGGTCGAAGACACTTAATGTTTCAGGGGAAAAATTGGTTGTTTATGTGATTCTTGTTTACATGGTCTGGATTATTTGATTTTAATGAATGCTCATCCTTGCCATTTAGAAAATAGGTTGGAGATTCTATGAGTCGTAGGAGAGGGACAGGAATTTTTTTGTAGGGTTTGTGTAGCGGCCGGTATTCACGTTATGTTGCCTCCATAGAAAACTTGATTCACTTAGTGACAAGGAACTAATAGGGATCAGAATGTAAAGAGACACCATGATTAAGTGTGTCCATTAACATGCTGGAACAAGCTTCCTAGATTTACTGTCAAATAGCAGGCAGGAAAATATTTCGGAAATATTTAGGATACCCTTATTTTCAAAGTGCGACTTCTTCCTTATAAATTCCTGGAAACTTTCTGTGGGCTGTGATAAAAGACAGAAGATAAAGGCCAGAATGATCATTAGTCAGTATCAAGCAATTTCTGTGGCCTGTCGGAGGCCCGAAGCATCTACTGTATGTATTTTGACTAGACAGAGCTTTTACTGTGGTTCCTTAGTTGATGATGCATCACAAGCTCATATCTCTCCAGAAGATACCACTATAAGGTGGAGGCTTGTTATCTGTTGTCAAATTGCCCATCTGTAGGGAGCCTATAACAGTTGGTGTGAACTCAGTGTCTTTAAAACAATTGCTGATTTATCAATTATAGGTAATAAAGTAGAATACTAATAATGACACAGGACATGCTACACATGTTTTTTTCTTGCTAGTATTCCAATACTAGCAATCACTGTACAGACATCACCTTTGATATTAACTAGGAAGATCAGAATACAGTACCCCAAAGAACTATTGGTATTTTTTGGTTTCATGCAGCCATCCAAACTTTCAGTAATTATTCCTTATTTCAATTATCATTACTGTAATTTTTGTGAATCTCTTATTTCCCATTGCAAATAATGTTAGTGAAAATATTCATAATGTTTATGAAGTGACCTTTTGATATTAAGTCCCTATTACTCTAGCCAATAATGGGAAATTCACAAATATTACTGTATGAACCAAAAATCTTCCAAATCTGGGGGCTTTGCCCCCAGACCCCCATCCAATCATCATATTTCTTCATCAGGAGCTCTGCCTCTGGACCCCCAGACAAGGACTCTCTGTTTACCATTTGTCATGACCTAATTTCTTCATTTCTGACATAATTTTTTGCCTCTGCAAATTATTATTTTTTAATTTTGTGCCACTCCATTTTCCAATAAATGAATACCAGCTTATTAGAGTATGTGTTACACAATTTTCTTATTATCTACTTTCAAAAGTAATACGATAAGTGAAAAGTGTCATATTTTCATCGTTCTGTACATTACAGGCAAATTTTACCTTGTACTACATTGCTTTGGGAAGTTGTAACCATACCAAACTGTTCCTTCAAAATTTAGGCCTAATTTCTCAATATTCACTGGTGTATATTTTTGTCTTCAAGATATGGAAGACTTGATTTTGCATACCTTAAATATATATTTTTTACTGATATATGGTAGATTCATATTGTACACTGGAGCATGAGAGCTGTAAAAAAGTTGATGTAGTTACAGTGGACGTCTGAGGAAAAATTAGAAAAAGTTACCAAACGTACTCAGACAAAACATATATTAAGCACATATATATGTATTAGGAAGCCACTGAAATGTAATATTGCATTTTGCAGAGTTAAAATGGGGGCAGATAGAATATATATTGATAATATGATAAGATATAGTGTGCACATGTTAAGTTATACATTATCTTATCATGCAGATTCTATAGGTTGGGAAATCCCCCTGTGTACTAGGTACTTGTGGTACCAGAGGCTCAGACTCCCAAACCTAGAGCAGGTGCCTGAACCCACCAATCCATTAAACATATTCTGTACAATGCTAAAATTACTATTTTAAGCTAACCACATTTCTTTAAAATGATTGGGAAAATAGGGGTTTGGGGATTGCATTTGGTGGCCATACTACTGGTAGAAACTTACCAGACAGTGTGAGACTTATTATCTGACACTATCTCATTAACAGTGAAAGACACAGTTAACAGCCCAGTAGTTTTTGACAGCTGATGTAATGATTGCGGCAAGTCAGACCCACAGCCTCTTCACCACAGTTGTAGCAAATAGGACTTTGGGGTAAATATTTACAATCATTTGCATGTCACTGGCAGAGGCAAGACTTACTCTGAAGACCTGTGATTTCTGCTCAGGGTATATGGATGACCCAGACATTGACAAGGACAAAGTCAGAGAGGAAGAAGAAAACCTTCCTGTACCAGACCTTGGACAAGCAAGTTGTTAGATTGCTTGCCATGTGATCACCAGTGTCGACACCTTTCATGTCGTTGTAATCCTTTACTACCAATGGCTTATCCCTGTCCATTGCAGCAGTATAGACTGTTGACAGCATGGTGACATTGCTGTGGTACTTCCACATTAAGGCCAGCCTAAGGAATCTGCCATTCTCCATCAAATGAAGCACCACTTTTGTGGATGAGGGCATGTCATCATAGTCCTGCCCAGTGTACACCTGGAAACAAGGTGTACCCTGCTGCCGAGCCGGTACTGACACAGAACTTCGAGGCCTTCAACCTGAACCGTGTCCTCTGTAGGTTGGAGGGTTGTAGATCTTCAAATCTAAGAGCCCATGTAACTTCCATATCGACTTGTCAACGACAATGTCCTCCTTTAGCATGAATGTTGACCGGAATGAGTTGTTCAGGGAGTCTACGACTGGATGGAGCTTCCACCTCCTGTCTTCCAGGAGTGAAGCTCCTTCCTTTATGTGCACAAAATAGAGGTGTGTTATGAACTCTCTCTCTCTCAATAGGGTTGCACATATGAGATGCTTGGAAATGGTATATCTTCCATATTAAGTGGATTAAAGGATAATTTCCTGTTTCTAGAAATCAAGATATTTTTCACATAAATCTTTTCTCTCTCTCTCTCTCTCTCTCTCTCTCTCTCTCTCTCTCTCTCTCTCTCTCTCTCTCTCTCTCTCTCTCTCTCTCTCTCTCTCTCTATCCCTTTTTCTTGAGACTGGGTGAATTATAGTCAGAGAAAAATCTCTTGTTCTATTAAAGTTTTAAAAAGCCCTGCCAATGTAACTATGTTGAACAGGGCAACTTAGTTTTTGTTTTATTGATTTTCTACAGTGCCAGTAGTAGTGGTCCTCTGTAGATTTTATTTATTTATTTATTTTTTTATTTTTTGCATGTATGTGTGTGCATGCCTGCATGCATGCCTGCGTGCGTGTGTGCCTGCGTGCATACATGAATGTATGTGCATGTACACACACACATCTTACTACCTCTGTTTGGCTCAAAATCTTGGCATTAGGCTTACTTCCGTGGAATTTTCTTAAGTGGGTAGCTTGTAGGCCAAGCCTACACAAATGTGTGCGGTGTCAAGACTCCCTGCCTCCCCTTTGCAGTGTTATCATCTCTTTTTCTACATAAACAGTTTTTGTTTATTTTTCCATTTTCTGAGGTCTGTAATGGTATGTATACTATAATGATCTTCTGTGTTAAGATGATATTAAAATGTTTAGACTACCTTGTACAGACTCTGTATTATCTCTCTAGGTTGTCTTTAGTCTATTCGTTTTTGAAATAGCAATAAGAATAAGTAAGATTTTATAATTTTTTTGATTTTTATGTTTTAGTAATTTTCTGTAATACACCTTGTATCATCAGTCATGGTAGTCAGGAATAGGATCCTGAGCATGGAAATAGTTCCCTAGAACTGGCATTTTTCCAGTCATGAATCATGGATGGTACATCACACACTCGTTTATGTTGAAAATAATTTAAGAATCCATTCCTTATTGCCCACTAAGTGTGAACACTCTCCAAGAGCTTTGTGCACTCATGGCAAGTCTTTCCCATCACCCCAGCCTTCAGCCAAATTTTATATGAACGCATTATCTTACTCTGGCTCTTCAGAATTTTTCATGATGGCATATTCCTGACTCCCGACCCTCGGCCAAATTTTTTTGTGTTGTGATGGTCTTGTCATCCAGTTCCTAGGGGTTAATAATGCTCACTAAAAGCTTGCAAATATTCACCATGGATATTCTGGTAAAATAAAGCTTAGGCTGGTTCTTTACATGACAAATTAACAAGCTCTGCAAAAAGTCTATAATCAATTAAGCACAATTTTAATGGCAATTTTACTTTAAATTTAATTGCTGAAGGTATTATTTTTATTATTTACAATTTTTGACTGATGTACCATTAACCCTTTCCCGCCGGGGGAAGTTTATAAAAAATGGGGGAAATTCTGTGCTCATTTTTTTATATTTTTGTGAAATGTCCCTGTTACTAGATGGCTCTGCTAGTGCTAGCCATAAAGGATTTCAACTTTCCTTGAATTGGCACAAAAAACATATTTTTACTAGTGCTATAAATATAGATGGTGTTATTTTTATTATAAATATTATAATTACTAAAATGTTATAAACATTTGTAAAAGCAAAATAAGATAACGTTAAATATTTTTGTAAATTGATGAAAAGGGTGAACGGGCGAGACAGGTGGTACTCGTAACTGGCTCATTGGTGATTTAGTACAAGTGTAGCCATC